AAAAATTTGTTGGCGTTGGATCCCACGCCACGACAATGCGAGCTCCCACACATCGGCTCAAACAGCTGCATTTTCGAGCACTCAAAACAACGATTTGACAGGTCATCAGCCATGTAGCCCCCGGGTGACTTCTTCTCATCCCGTACGTAAAAAATAAAATGAGAGGTCAACGTTTTTCGACACCCGAAGAAGCCGTTGATGAGTTCAGAACCCATGTTTTAGAGTTACCTACATCAGAGTGGCAAAAGTGCTTCGAAAATTGGTTCGAGCCCATACAAAAGTGTATAGATCTTAATGTGGAGAATTTTGAAAGGCAGTCAAGCAATTTTCAATAAATAGTATTTGTTCCTGTTCTCAAATCCCGAAATATAAAAGGCAGCCTACGTATTAGGGTCTTATATGTAAAAACGGTAATTTAATAATTCTTAAAATTTTATATGCTGCAGCTATTTTCAACTTTTATCTCTCCCCTCCACTACACTCCTTCCTAAGACGCGCTCCGTAATAAGACGGATACAGGAGAGACTCAGAAGCGCTATACTGGGCAGGTCATTTATGACGCCATCCTTGATTATAATACCATGATGACTGATCTCATTGATCAATGACCCGATCTGGATTGCGCTTGCAGCCCTATCTGATTGCCATCACTATATTTTTGAACATTTGGTCATCATAATGTCAAGCAAGAACGAATCAATATTCCCTCGCAGGTCCTCCTTTGAAAAAATGCACCCACTTCAGACCCAACAGAAGAATTTTTCGGGGATTTGAACTACCCTACATTACAGATATAGTGCATAGTTACCATAACTGCTTTCGCCGCCATTCATGTACGAATGTTTATTACTGTGAAAGAAGTCTATTACCATAAAAGAAAAAAGGTGTTATTGGGTCTATTAGCTCTGCAAGATAGAATACAGAACATTTCGCCAAGGAGAACCATATTTAGGCAGCCATCTACATATACACCAATACCAAGGGTGGAAAAGATGCGGCCGCACACACAATGTAATTTGTGATAGAATCGTGCCCAGAACAATCTCCGCGTTTGGACCGATTCACCGCTCCAGCCTTCGATGAGATCAAACCACTAAATGTTACATTCATCAGCTACTGCACACAGTGAACCTTTCGATACGCTGATCTTCCAGTGAAGGTCATATACGTGGCGCATCCCAAAGCCTAACAAATCTCACCCATTTGATCTGACCATGATCCAGCATTTACATGCAAATTTATTACAGCGAATCGTAAAAAAAATTACAAGAGATTACATACTTCTAAGGGCAAATAAAATAATCTTTAAGAGGAAAGGGATGATAATTTACTGAGAGGAACAGATCAATCGTCCTAATGATTAGCGATAGTCCTGAACAGATTTGCACTTTTAATGCCGACATCTCTTTCTTCAATGGCAATAATCATAAATTGAATAGAAGACACTAAAAAGAAGGTTATTGAATGAGTTCGTAATTGGTGCATACTCGTGCAATTCATGATATACCGGAATGCGGAATGACTCGCAATACAATCTCTAAACAACAATTAATTATGATATTGACTTTCAAAAGGATTCATCAAACAATCTATCACGAATAATTCATTTAGTTGGCGAAGATGGTCGTGAAAGTCGTGGAATACCAGAACCATTTGTGCGTATGATCGCGGTAGGAGGTCGCAAACCCGAACCTGAAAAGTAATCCATGGTGGGAGTTTAATCAGTGTTCTACGTGTATTTTTATTTATGCGAAAGACCATAATTCCCCTTAACTACATATTAGTAGTTCATATTTACATTTCGCAAAAATTGGACAGTTAAAATTGCATTTCTGTTCCCGACTTTTTCTAATTCTTGTATTAAGAAGAAAGTTGCTGAGACCCAGCTATTTCTCGCTAAAAAATGTGAAGACTTGGCCTAGGCCCCATAGCGGGGGAACCATTAAGAAGACCTATTCTGCGACCTCTCTCACTGACTACTCTGCTCTTGACAGGAACGAATGGAGACGTTACTATAATAGTACCCGCTCGAGGAAGTTGATGATCAACAAGACGGCAGGTGATACAGGTGATTCTGCGATCTCTACGGTCTTGAGCAGCCTGATAATTTGTAATCATTGGGAACAACAAATGGGGGAGTAGGGTTCTGCCAGCGTTGAAGACCAAATAAAGCCTTCACTATTGCTGTCTAAAAACATCAGCCGAACAAAGCTGGTGACAAAAATGAACAAAAATTACGAGAGACCGACGCTGTCATGTATTCTGTGCAGAAGATTAAAAGGGTCTCTAATTGGTAAGGTAAAGATACAAGATACACACAAAGACAGAATTTAGTGCACATTAATGAAACATACCAGAGCTCGAGCGAGGCAGTCCAGTAGTGACCTTCTGCACACCTTCTGAAGAACTCTTCGTCGGCACAGCACCATTCGTTGAGTTACTCTAGAAAGGGAATAACATCAGATTTTGAAGAACCGTTTATAGTCAGTCACGTTTCATTCAGCAAAAGAACTCACACTGATTTTTACAGGGGCAGCTGCAGCTGGCTTGTTAGTAATTGTCGCTGCACGGACAACATTTGGTGCAAACACCGTTCTAGCAGGTGCTCGACTAGAGGGAACTGAAAGCGTGATTACTCCAAAATAAGCCAGCAAGTAGTGCTTATACAAGCACAGGAACCATGAAATAACCTCACCTGGATGGGATACAATCGGTTTTGTGCCTGCAGAAAAGGGTCTTTGGGTTGATGACTGAGTAGGACGAGTACTAAGCGGAACACGCACAGGATCTAAATCACAAAGGAGCTTAATAGAGATTGTTGACTCTTCCTAGACCACATTGTCTGTGTATGGACTTCCTCAGAAAACTTTGATCTACATTTCGACAATATTTAAATAAATCAATTTCTTGATGAAAACAGGTTGACGTACTGTTTTGACGGGAAGGGGTTGATGTGACTACGTTTGGTCTCTTAGGAGCAATTGTTGGCTTTGTTGCCACCCGATTGGTCGGAGCCACTGTTGACGGTGTTGCCATTCGATTAGTCGTTCTTGAAACTCCGGCCGATGGTCGAGAAGCGGAACTCATAGGACGAGTAGGAGCCCGTGAAGCAGGAGGTACTTTTCGTGTTTCAAGTGAGGCAGACGACGCTCTTTTTGGAGCAGATGTCTGGGAAGGCTGAAAACCACAAGCAATTCAGTGGAACCCAATATCAAATTCTTAGATGAACCGTAAATATGAATCAAAATTGAAACTACTGCTTGAGTGCAGAGTTCTAATGAAGGTAAATGGGATATTCCAAAAAATATAGCCAAGTGACGGGAAAATGACTGACGCCCACAAATTTTTTGGGATTCAAGCGAAAAAAGCAACGGTTCTGAGAGCGATTATTACAAAAAATAGGCTGAAGGATCGAAAAGTTGGTCATAATCCAGTGAGGGCTAACGACTACAAATAGGGGACGGATTGTGGAGGACTGACTCGCATAGTGCCAGTGAATCTTCGAGATTTCACTCTGATATTACACCAGACACGTTTGTTTAAGGAATCATATCCAATTCCGTTTTGCTGCAGCGAGCAACCGATGAGATCTTACCGCTGAAGGCAGACATCCTAATTGATCACTGCATTAGTAGACAGGAGTTCCTAGTGCATGCCTCCATGGTTACATAAACTACTGAGAAAATATTTTCAAGGTATCTTAGCCCGCGGCCGTCTCAGCCCTCGTATTATTTATTGTGCGTAGATTTGAATCGTCTGAATAAGTGGGTTGGTTGGTACGGTATTAAGCACCTATACCTCAATCCCGGTAATTGCGTTAGATACTCACTTCGAAATATGATGAAAAGCAGGATTGCCCTCTCTAGACCTTGTCAAGTTTATGGGCACGTCCCCACTTATCACGTCAGAAGCGAGACCGGATCAGACGATTAGGCCCCTTTGAACGAGCCGATTCATGTATGACAAGGCGAGAACATCAAACTTTTCGAGTTATGCCAGCAGAGGGTTCTACACACCTTCAAGAGCAACAGCAGGAAAAATCCTTTCTTCTTACCTTTGGTTTCGCTTCAGCGGCATGAAGTCGGATGATTTCTGGAGCAGCTTTATCACCAAACTCCTCCCGGATTTTTTCAAAATTCTCAGTGATCTAGATATTAGAATAGTTGAAGACAGGCAAATGTAAACTTTTTGAGTTCGAAACAACAAAGCCCGACTTTGGCCATCTTGAGCTTGTCCTCCGAAACTTCACCGAACAGCCTACGCGCCGCCTGTTCGCCAACGCATCGCAAGACAGCGCCCATTGCTCGAAATGTCGATTCACGCACTTCCGCATCGGCATCGGAAGAACACTAAAAACTCACGAAAAATGCAATGAAGAAATCGCGACAGAACACATTCAGAATAAATTACTTTAACTAGATCGGGAGTGATCTCTTTCACTGCGTTTGCAGGAATGGTAGAGGAATCATGCCGAGAAAGGAGACGAGCCACGAAAAGTGCTGTTTGAGCTCGTGATTGCGGATTTGGTTTGGTGAGTCCACCACAAACTGCTTCCGTGTAGTTTTCGATAGACGTCTGAACAAAGTTCAATAAACGCATGGATATCCGCTTCCGATTGTATCAAAATCCACAGTCCGATAGCTTAAATAAGGTGAGAACAAGTACCGTCGTCGCAGCCGCATCACACAACTCAACGAGTTCGTTTCTTAACACAGCCTTTTTCTCCTTCAGCTTATCAAACGCTATTGGCATCACCTAAATCGAGAACGT